ATCCTTGGCGCTGCTCTAGCACTTGCCGCAGATTGAATCTATGGTCCATACAGCCACGTCATGGACGCGAACCTGCGTGCTGTTCCCTAATCCGAGATTCCAGTTCCACAGTGAGGCAACGAAAGAGAATCGAGGTCAGTAATTCTGTCACAACTGGTGTTAGGTTAATACCCCTGTGATTAGAACAGTCTGTGCGACTACCCTTCTTGTATATTGTTACTATAATCGATTCACTCCAGTTAGCCGGGCCCCTCTCTTCCTTCCAAATACGTCCAAACAGGCAGGTCAGTGTTTTGCAGAAGACCTCACCTCCAGCTTTAAATAGTGCAGGTGGGAGGGAATCCGGGCCAGCGGCACGAAAACGATTGAGGGCTGTGATCGCGTTTCGGACCTCGGCCTCCGACGGAAGCTCTAAACTAACCGTCCATGACACGTCTTGCATCACATGAGTAGGAAGACGTAAAGGAGCAGGGGGCCAGCTGAACTGATCTTCAAAGTGTTCAGCCCAACGAGCCATACGGCGCTCCATATTTTGCATAACCGCACCCCCGCTCTCTGGTTGTCTCACTGACGCCTGGTTTTCTGGGACCATTGGTGCGGATTAGCTGGAAGAGCTTGCGGTAATTGCTTACTGCTCCTGCCTCCTCCATTTCTTGAGCCCTACTGGTCCACCAGGCTTCCTTTTCAACACGTATGCTCTGCTTTAGTTCACGCCTAATAGCCCGTCTGTTCACATTGTGTTCAGAGCCAGCCGGGATGTTTCTTCTGGATTCCAACAGGTTCAGCGACCTCTCGGATATCCAGTTACTGGTGCGCTGACGATTGGTAGTGCCACAAGCAGATGCGCCTGCGTCGTGCATGGTGGTCGAGATCCTATTCCACTGAAGCTCAGTTTCATTAGGGCAAGATAGCGGAAGTTCGGTATGCCGGGCGTCTTGATAGAATTGCCTGACCGAGGACTGATACAATTTCTCATTTACCAATCGGAGAGGACACTTGGTGCGCCTCCTCGTAAAGTTCATGGAGAAACGATAGCGTACCAAGACATGATCAGAGTCGACACAGGTACTCCAGTACGAGCGGCAATCCAAGATGGAACCACGTCATCTGTAACTTCTGGCTATGTGGTCAATTTGGGTCCATCGCTGGCCAGCTACCTGAGGACGCCAAGTTGCACTTCGGCGTCCACTGTGTCTAAAAGCGGTGCTACTAGGAAACTAATGGTGCTCCGCACACAGTTGCAGCAGACGCTCACCGTTATCAGTCCGTTCGTATTAAAAACCCACGATTACCACCCAGCTGAGCTTCTGAAGAGCTCAGACGCCCTACTTGTGCGTTCATATCCCCTGCAATTACTATAATATCTGAACTAGTAGCACTACGTAGTAGCGCGTTCAGTTCGTGATAGAATGTGTCCTTGACAGCATTAGAACTGCAGTCGGTGGGAGCATAAGCGGAAATTGCAGATACTCTCGGTAAAACCTCATGACGTATCCCACCACATTTCCCACTGCTAACAAACCGTCTAAACTTGATCTTGTGCTCACCAATTAAAAATTCATGGTCGACGGAATAAATACATGCACACCACTGGGGGCGCAGTGACCATGTGAATCAACTGTTTACCTATGTCTGTGATGCGGAATAACTTGAGGAAGAAGTTGATGTACTGTATAGCTAACGCACTACAAAATGTTGTCCGCGCTTGCTAAGGAGATATCTTGGACCTCCTTTACTGAAAGCCCACAGTAATCGCTTGGGACACTTGCACAAAGACATCTAGCATACTGGTACCGCACGCGTCTGAACAGAAGTCCTTCCATCTTTACAGGCGAAGCAAGTCGTTTCTGAGGAGCAGAACGCAAGTATACATGTCGTTGAGGGACTTAGTATGGAGAGTTCACTAAGATTCCCCAAATTCCGAAATTTGGACTGCACAATTGCCACAGCGTGACTGCTTGAGTTTGATCCACGAGGAAAAGGTGACGCAACAGCAGGAGATAATAAATGCTACACGAATCGTAAACTCTTGTACAGGCAGCTTAAGATGCAACAACGAATGCTGCCAATGGTCACTACTGACGGGTGTGCACGATCTTCGCGCATACTTCAGTAGCCGCCACTGAAAACTCTCCGTGATTTCAGCCTTTGCTAGTGGGACAGATTTCGTAGATCCTTGATGTTCTTTGTGGCCCAGCGTTGTGGTTCCTCTAGCACTTCTACGTCGCGGTTCAACCAAGCTTGTCAAACTGGGATGGCGTATTCAACTTGAGGGCGTACGTAAGAATTGTGCATGATGGGGACGATGCATGGGTCAGAACTTCCGAATACTCTCCGCAGCAAGCCGACGTGCTGGTTGAATCTCTTCACAGCTGCCTCTGACTGCTTTGAACAGTTTAGGTCACTTTGAATGAGCACACCAAGGTTGCGTTCTTGGGAAGTTGTTTGTAATAGATGTGACCCAAGCCTATGCACGTAGTCATGCCTATAGCGCAATTGAATGGCGTGATACTTTTCCACATTGTACGGTAGGGTATTCAGAACTGACCATTTTGGAATGGTGTCGAGGTCACGCTGGAGCTTTTCGTGGTCCTTCGGCTCGTTGATCTCCCGTCATAATTTGATACCATCTGCGAAGAATAGGAAATCGGAACTAATTTCCATCGCCAGATTTTTTATGAAAATCAGGAATAGACGGGGCCGGAGCACCGAGCCTTGTATTACGCCGCACTCCACTTCAATTGCGTCGGACAAGGATTCTCGTGCTCTCACCTCCAACCGATGTTCGTGCAAGAAAGTGGCTATCCAACGCAGCAGTGGTTCACCAGTGCCATAGAGGTGAATTTTATGGAGGCGAATTCGGTGATCCAAGCGATCAGGCGTTTTTGAGAAGTCAGGTAAATGACATGGACTTCTGTTCCACCATCAGCTGCTCGAGTTCAGCTATTGTGTGTAGTTAGCAGGTTCTAAATGAATGAGCGCTTTTGTCGGAAGCCATGTTGCTCTGATGCTATATTGTCCTGATTTTCCAGCTACGGCATGAGTGCGTCAGCGATCATAGACTCTGTAGTCTTGGAAAGCACATGGATTCGCGTTATCTTACGGTAAATGATTGCGTCAGTGCGATTGGCTCGCTTATGTATTTTAACTGGTTTGAAGTTAGTACTTTTCGAATCATTTCGTCCCTTACATATTCTGATGATCCATGTCTTTTCACTTGTTGAATTCAAACATTCGCTCGAATTCTGCAGCATATCTTTTTCGTGTTGTGCTTGGGTCACTGCATGGCAAAATTGGTTCCTCCTTTATCCGCTTCGTTTATAAGCAATGCTTGCACATTTTTTATCCATGTACAGTGGATGTTTAACCTGCCCATGATTTTCAACCTGCTGCAGTTCTTCTGTTGGACTGTTTTCAATGTTTTGTTGACTAACATATAGGAGTAATAGCTATTTGCCAAACAATCCTTGCTTTCTAAATATGCATATATCTTCTCATTGCCTTTCATCTGATTACAGATTCATCATTCAAAGCGTAATTCCTTCATAAATGTTCACACGTTCATCGTTCGTCTCAAAATCTATGTTTTTTCTCACTACTTAGAGGTACTCATTAACATTAACTCGTCATTTATCTCAATAGCATCGCATTAGTATTGACGGTTTGAACACCTCCTCTTCTGTGGAACGCTGGGGAGCGGCATTTTGCAGTGATGGTGCCAATTTCCTTAAGGTGAATGAAATGCTCCCTAAGTTCAGGAGGCCGTCATCCGATCGCTACTCTCCGGCTTCCTGCACCTCCTCTGATTCCCTACGTACGTGCTTCTCCACAAGACGTAATGCTCCTGTGTAATATTTCGTGGTCTGCGTAAGAAACTCAGGTCACTGAAATAATTTACCCGATGTAGCAAAATTCGATTCCTTCGTTGTACCCAGCTATGCTAAACCCTGCACAAACAGCATTGCTTCCAAAGTAATCATCATTTGCCTATGGCTTTGTTTCAGTCTGGCATATGTACAAAACCATAAGTATTCACACACAAGCCCAGACTAATTTAGGGCCGTCTTAATTTCTAACCCTCCAACCAAGTAAAAGTCCGTCGAGCAAAAATTGCGGCAATATGTTTCCGTGAAACCAGCTCCATCAGGCTTCTCGCAATTTCTATTTTGCACCTATTCGTTAGTGATACATTTACATGTGACTGGTGCATATTCACTCTTCATATTTGTATAAAGCGTATTTTTGTCTCGAACTGAAAACGCTCCTGCCGTTACCTTATTGTTACTATTAGGTACATTCCAAACAAATTATCCCACATCAGCTTCGGTGTCGTTCATGCGCGTCGCAACACAGCGGTGGGAAAAATGAAGAGAAGCTCTTCTCCCTGAGTTTGATTCTGATAGCTAAGTGCAATGTGGACGCTACATTGCGCTAATCTAAAAGACACTCGCATACATACGCACATACACATACACGCACACATACTGATGGCATCGGAGTTTTGTTAATTTGCTCTTCACTATGTCAAATTGGATTCAGCAATATCCGCTTTGAGGTCACAGGTAGATCTTCAGCCACCACAACACATTACGCCCACCAGCCAATACCGACTGTTCCACATATGTTCGGATGTGATTGGATGGCCTTAGTTGCCGGTTGTCTTATTGGCCACCTGTAACCGTCGTCCCAATAGGCTGATTCACACACGTCCGAGGTGCACTGTCCGCGAGAAACAGGACAGCAGCTGACCTCGTTTCACCCTTTTGTCCGTGGATCTTCATTCAGTGTTCGCCATGCATTGAGGTGGATGAGTCTTCAGTGTCCACTAAGCGCGATGGAGTTTTATGGCTATAGTACTATGGTTGAATATAACCCATAGATTGCCTTGGTTTTGGATTAAAGCCGACCATCCCCATGTCTTCTCAAAGTGTCCAGCAATCATGCTACCGTGGACATTGCTGCGCGGTGTTTATTACGGAGTCTTATGGGCTTTGTGCTCTATGGTCAATCAATCCAGTCCCAAATCCTGCATTTGCACCCTTTCAAGCAACAAAACCGAGAGCGCGACAGGCGATCTCTATCTTCTAACATGTCACAGAGCAGTGACAGGTGGGTCCACCATTTCCCACGTTCCTTGCCAGCAGGTGGATGACCTCGTGCGAATCGGACCCCTTGAGGATGAAATCACCATCGTTTCAGAATCCGCCAAGGTCACTTCTGCCACTGCAAGTGCCATTCAGATCGCACCATGGGGATTTACTGATTTACTGGTTGACAAGTCAGTGCGTCGAATCCAGCTGGATGTGGAACTGAGTGCGCACAAGGTTGACGCTTTATCTCTCGCTGGTTTGGAGACGTTGGAAGAACTGTTGACCCGAAACGGTGTGATCCAATGGGACAGTTGTAGTTTTGCAAATCTGCCTAGGCTGAAGCACTTGTTACTCAACTGCAGGTCGATATATGAAGAGTTTATTTCATTTGCGTTTGGAATCCGAGTGGTTCATTTTGTAGGTTGTGAGGATGTCCCATTGCAATTTTATTGTGTTAAATGCATTCAGGATCCTCGTATAAATGTGATACGGATCCGCCCCGGACCCCCTCTAAGACGATACATGGTGAAATTCTCTGATTTCCACCGGACTAACAGGACCCAAACGCAGGATAATGGGAGCCGACTGACCATTGGTAAGTGCGTACCGAGCATTTGTTCTGATGACATGTTGTGTCGGAACAATGTCCCTTTACAAATGGCTCAGGCCAATGTGGGACGCCCACTGTTAGCCGTAGAACACGCTTTCCTTCTTAACCAACTTCCCTCTCTGCACACATTGAACGTATCCATCAAGGTCAATGAAACTTATAACGAAACAACGTCATATGTAAACTCGTCTGGTACAAGTCTGCGACCCATTTTGTCACAACAGCTGATGTATCTACCAAGGAACCACCGCATATGGATTGTCGTGTGTATTTTGATTGTGATAGTTGGACTTCTCATCACTTCTTTTGTCTTAATCGGATTAACACGTCAAAGGTTACGCCACAAACGGGCCAAATTTGTTCGGTCTCATTTGAGACAGTCCGCAATTTTGAATGGCATAACTCGAGAACCGCCCATTGTCCTCACGAGAGAAATTAAACTTGGCTCGCAGGAACAAGTCTGATGCCAACTAGAGTGTGAGGTCAAAGTGAGTAACAGTTTCGCTAGAGGCGCTCTTCGAAAACTGAGGGAAAGGGGCTAAACTCGAAATCAGACGCTCTCTGCTAAGTCTTTCCATTTTCTTTCACCATCAAGCAATTGTTGCCAACGGGGACTGTTTAATGCATGAGATTTGTTCTTCATGAGCTTTCATTATATCGTGCTTCCATTTTTTATTAAACCGATACTTATGGTGCTTCGATTGTCAGGTACCCATCTACCGCTTATTTCGAAGTGCTACTAAACCCAAGCATTTACCACCCAATTGTGATGATAGTCTGAACCGCTGTAGACACGGCGATTTCAAGCGTCACAATGCGTGACATTACTTTCACTTTCTTGCTCTCACCCTTGTGCATTTTTTGTTCAAATCTCCACTTGTAATATTTTCCCATCTTCTGATTGCCCTCATTCGGTCTCATATTTTTTCGACTCGCTGAGTGTAAATACGAAGTACTCGAAGTCAAGCATTACAAATATGCATGAAACAAAACGCCTGGTAGATCTCTGTCCTCTGCATGCTATGAGTTTACATCGTTAGGAGTTTCGATTCAGGTTTGAAAACGAAACACTTACTTTTTGTTAGATCCGCTCAATGGTTTCCGATAGTTTGTTAGAAACGGCTTTGGTGCAAATGCCTCTTGTCGGGTTTTGCTCGCATGGTGTTTTCTGGCTCGATGAATGCATTATGACTCTTGACCACATGCTGCAGCTTGTAGTTTACTCTGCTGGAGACTGCGCTTCGTTTACGTTTCTCAGGTTGTCATAAGATCCATACCACACTGTATTTGCCACTCAAATACCGATGCATGCAATAAGTTGGAATAGCGGCAGCTAGGGTTAGCGATCGAAGTCTGAATTGGTTTTCCGAGCTGAGCATTTGACCGCAAACGTTTATTCACCACTCGAGGTGGCAAGTCGGCAGGCACTGAGTTTCGAGCGAATTCAACAATGGGTGCTCCAGCTTGAGTGATGGCAAAACGTCTGCAATCAATTTCCTCAGCTCGGAGAACCGAACAAAACTTCAACTACCACTGTGCTTTGCCGTGTAATATTGTAAACTCAGTTGCGCCTCTTACTTAAATCCATATCCTTTGTTTGGGCTTTATTTCATACCAGCTGTGCATAAGGTTGCGACCTCTTCCAAATGACGATTTCACACTGGCCTAGGTCGGGGAGGCGAGGAGTAAGACGTAAAATTCCAGTGTAAGGAACCATGGTGATCATTATCCAGAATTCTATTTTTCCAGGTTTGTTCGTGGCTCTAGCCTCAAAATACCGCATTTTTGTTAGAGGTAGCCTAAGCACATGAGTTACTCACTGGAGTGAAATATACTACACCTAAACGTGTGCTGTAGTCTACCTCGGATAATTCGGTTTCGACCCAATCTTGCAGTGTTGGTATCGGATCCTTCATTGCTGAATGGCATAACTCCAACGCGGATACACAGCATCCGCGAGTGCTGAAGTTTAAGCGACGTATACGTACGGCTGTGGCTAGCAGAATACGAATAGATTAGCTACCATCTGGTTACTACGAAGGATGCATGTAAGGTTCTGAGATAGTTTACGTTTTTGTCCCGCGCTTACTGGTCGTGTGTTTGCAGTACACAAGCAATTTTGACCTAGTCACTGTTTCACTTTGTATGCAATCTTGATCATTCCAATTACCGCGAGTATATTGTCGTAACTTGCACACCATCTGTGTTTGAATTTTTCAAATGGAGACATCCGGCTGTCTGAATAGAACTGTGTTTACTAGCAGACATTTTATCACTATGCTGTCAAGCTCAATGAATTGGATCACTTTAGATCAGACCACATTAGAGAAATCAGACGAAGTGTTCGTCGAGGAAAATAGATATTCTAATCATGAAATAGCCTTATTTTCAGCAATACAATTGCAGTACCCGATGGTATTTGACAATGAAGCTGATAACGTTCACGGAGTTGGGTTTCGGTCGGTCACCGGTGGCAACTTTATCACCTTAATCGTTGTACATTGTGGACCTTTCTTTCAAATGGTTCAATATTCCCAACGATCCCGCATATGAATTTTATGGACTATTAAACGCAATCTTTATGAAAGAGAATACGGGAGAATTAGAACCCTAGCCTTTCGCAACCTCAGAGTTAGCTCACAAAGTCTGAGTGTCCATTTATCTACTTGAGGCCTCTACCCTGTAGATGTACGAGGGTTTAGAAAGCATCGGTGCTACTGATTGCCCAGACGAACCTCATGTGGATCCGTGGTCCAATGAAGCTGTTAGCTCAAATTCGTTTCGCCGTCTAACGACACTGAGAGGAGTTTCGCACTACGGCGGATTTATGTGTGTTAGTGAACTAGGTCGGGCGAACCACTATGACACACTAAATTCTCGCCTGGACAGAATACTAAGATAAAACCTATAACCTTCAAAAGTCGTAACTATAGCCGACTCACGATTGATGTTCAGTACGGCATGGAAACCATAAGTAGTATCCACGGGCTTCGTATTTCACAATGAAATTTGAATCAATACTTCCTTCGATATCCCAGCGAAATAGTCAAAAACGTTAGTAGTTAAATTGAATCTTTAGTGGGTAATGGAAAGAGTACGAGCCCAGTGTACACTCGGAGTACGCTTGCGTGGGCTTTGAGAAGCACACACAATTTACTACCCAAATGCGTAATTCACCATCAATTCACCAAAGAAATCATACGATTGTACGATTACCAGATGCAAGAATTTCTAAATTTTATAGGCCATAGGTTGTATGGAACCATCTGTTATGGAATCCCCGCATAAACATTGGGTATGATGTTTCATTTTATGAATACGTGGCCAGTATAGAAGGTCATGCCGTCAACGAAAGAGATAGGTGTAACAGTTTAACCACACGATCACGAAATGTTGAGGTGACCACATAGACTTGGGAAATAGCAACACCCTGATTAACAGAAATATCGTGAGCGTGCAAATGAATGTCGCTGTTAGGTTGTGCTCAAGTGCATATGTTCCAAGTAAGGGAGCACCTGTCGGTTCTTTAGCGAGCGAAGTACGCCCTAATTCGATCGGTGAATGTAATGTGAAATCGATCTTCTAACAATGACATAGTAGTGTATAATGAAAAAAACGTAATGTTTAACTGGCTTTTGGGGGGATGAACAAGATGAACATCACATTCTATAAAAATTACGCCCACGAAAATGTATTGTGTTGTTCCACCACAGTGTTCACACAAAGGCTTGTTTAAAGGCTCCTACTTCGATTTTCTGTGAGAATGCAAGTCAGTGTGGCGTTTCTCATGCCATGTCTACCTTCGATGTACACGATCTATGCTTCCTAATTTAAGTAGGTTAAAGCGGCACCGAGATTTTTGAACACGTATAATGTGGAGGCGGAAAATATGCACTTAAGGAGGGCGTTCTATGGCAAGCATGCACAAAGACAGAAACACTCCGGCTACAATTCGGACGGCAGTTTTGAGTGGCCTCTTCCGATTGCTTTGTAACAAAGCAGCAAAATATGGCGGTTAAGGTAAGTAGAGTATCTCCAGTATCTTGTGGGTCATTAACTGGTAGCACCGTAACCATAGGCACCGACCGCTGCGCAGTCTTAGTATCATAAGCCGAAGTTGTAGTAGGCAGTGGAACAACACCCTGCCATATTTGGCGTCGCTATTCTTTGTGCATCCTTGAGCATCTGCCGATCTTGCTTACGTCAGACCTTCCAGGCCTAGACACGGATACTCCATGAAGCAGGACGTAGGTCCTAAGCATCTGCAGACAAACGATTAGATCTAACCGCCTGGTCGGAAACAGTCGCTCTGATTTTTCTGATCAGCCTAGGTCATCCTAACCTAATCAAATCAAGTCCCCACAATCACGTATCTGCAAGGTCCTCTGTAACAAGTGGTCTCCATGCGTATATGTAGTGTTGGGCAGTTGACTAATGTGGACCACCTTACAGTTAGACTAATTTAACTGGTTCTGATGCCTGAATGACAGTTCCTAGGTACTGTCTAGGTCAATTTTGTGTGTCTCGTGATCTTCTAGGTAGGTGGTCACTTTCCGCATTTTATCATCATTTGAAAAGTGTTGAGAAATTTGAAGCAACCACATTGTTAGTTCACTGTCGAACAAAAGAAACAGGGGCAATCCCAGAGCTAACCCTTGTGAAATTCCCCAAACATTATGGATCGGACTGGACAAGACGTTAGAAAATCTAGTCTACAATTCTGTTACCTCAGGAAATTCCCAAGACAACCACGATCAGGATATAAATTCATTAGATTCGTAGTCTGTAACGAATGGCATGTTGTTCCAAGCACTTGAAGACTTGGGAAAAGTTGACTTAAATGAAACCAGTCCGTGTTCACCTGTTTACAGTTTCATGCCAACTGCTGCTTGCAATTAGGTGCTCATAGTGCATGACCAATGTTGACAACAACTATGCTTCTCTTAGTGTTGCAGCGCCCCACATGATCAACTAAAGCCTCGGTGGTGGCTTCTTCCACCATTTTAGGAGCAACGGCAGAGGGAACAATGTGTGAATTTTTTAGGTCTGGACGATTACCGTTTTCAACAAGTGGAGTAATTAATTTATGCTTTCACCTAATAGACATATTCGCGAAGTGCGATAATGGCTCCGCCAAAATTACTGGTCTTACAGTGCCCTCTTACGGACTCCTGTAAAATTGCTAGCACGCAGTGAGAGCTGTTTCCACACACAGTTGCAGTGTTAAACGGGACGTGATTAGGTCCCGGAGCATGAGATTTGGTTAGTATGTAACACATCATGTTGTGAATTCGGGGAACGTCATATCTGTAGATCATCGGTTGCTTCTTCGTCTCTCTCTATACCACTAGGATTACTGTGCAAAATGATGGAATTTTGCATTTCCTTTTGCCAAAGCTGTTGACATACTTGTACAGTATGCCTTTGTTTTTAAACTTGCGACCATGATACTGTGGATGAACCGCAGTGTCCTCACGGATAGGCATATAGATTAGTCGCACTGAGCCACTTATTGGTTTCAGGGTTCAGGACCAGGGCACATTCTGTACTCATGTCATACTGTATCCATCATTGACCTGCATTTTCTTGTTCGGCTTCGGATTAACGACCGCGTCTTGACGCAAAGGTCTGTATTAGTTAGTAATCATTCGCTATCACGTTTTTGAAACTTTAATAGATTATATCTGACACTGTTGGAAGAGCCATTTATCAAAAAGCCAGTTGACTGTCTTACAGGAATGCC